TCATTTGGGGCTATGAACCCAGTCTTGCCATACAACACACGAATACACACGAACACACACACAAACACATAAAAATACACACAGACCTACTTTAAAATGACACCAAAATACCACATTATAGTTACATATCGAGGAATAGCCATTAACATTACTCACTAGTTTATTTTGATGGGAAAAAAATTAGGAAGGTCTGCTGAATGCACACCAGGTTATAGTAGGAGCAGTATAATAGCTACAGTTTCTATCTCCTCAGAATCCGCACACACGGCCCTCACGTTTCAATCCCATCTACTCAAATTAGAGGCGTTAGCCTGTCTCTTCCACTTGTGCTCTTGTCCTGTCTTTCCCTCTTTAGCGTTCTACCCACTGGCAGTCTCATGGAAGATCTCTGACTGACCCTTTAGGTACTTTTGTGCTCCCTCCCATGTGGACTGCCCAATTTGCCCTGTCTTCCTAGCCCAGGGTGGATAGAGCCTGTGGGATACGCCTCTGGCACACACCCAGAGAGGTGCCCACTGAGGTTACACTATCGGGTGGTGGAGGCCTTGTCTACGTCTGCACAGACACCCACCGAAGTTTCCATTTCCCAGAACAGTTATGCTAATCTGAAGTCCATAAAGAAAAAGGAGTTTCAGTTCTCCTTTAAGCAGTGACCTCACCTTTCCGGTCGACACCTTCCCAGGGTACAGTGCCAGCTACCCCAGGACAGTGCATGAATATGGAAAACAGCTTGGGTTTCTTGGGTAAAGGAGCCCTGCAGGGCACTGGCAGCTGAAGGCTTGTAGGTAGCTCATGGCCCAATGGGGAAGTGAGATAGCTGAGAAATGTTCACTGTTGCTCTTGCTCTATTCATGATAGGCAGAAATTGGAAACAACCCAGATGTCCCTTAACAGAAGAATGGATAAAGAAAATATGGTACATTTATACAATGGAGAATTATCCAGCTCTTTAAAAATATGGCAATGTCAGGAGTGATAGCACACACCTTTAAACCCAGCACTCAGGAGGGAGAGGTAGAAGGATCTCTGTGAGTTTAAGGCCAACCTGGTCTACCAAGTGAATTCCAGAATGGCCAGAGTTCTTACGCAGAGAAACCCTATCTTGAAACCCATTCCCCAAATAAAACAATAAATAAATAAAAATTTTAAAACGTACATCATGATCTTGGCAGGAAAATGGAAGGAGCTAGAAAAAAAAAGTTATCCTGAGTGTACCCAGACCCAGAAAGATAAATATGGTATGGATTTACTTATATCTGGATATTAGTCTTTAAATAAATGATAACCAAGCCACAATTCAGAGAGGTAAGGCATAGAGGAAGGGACGGGGTGAAGACATACCTCTCCCTAGGAGGGGAAAATAGATTTTATGAGTGGACTGTAGTAGGGACTGAGGGAGCAAGATGAGAGGAGCGGGAGGGATGGGGGAGAGGAGATGGGAGGGAAGGAGGAAACAAGGGGAGAGACACCGGGAATTGAAGGTCATCTGAGGAGTGGCATGGAAACTTCCTGTAATACATGAAGGTGATTCTAATGACGTCTCCAGATAATGAGGAAGATGGAACCCCCACTGGCCACCTCTTGTCACCAAACAAAGCTTCTAGTGCCAGGATTCTAGTGCCCGATGGAGTTGTTGGCCAGGATTCCATGGTATGGTGGTTTGAACAGGAAAGATTCTCCTAGGTTCATGGGTTTGAATGCTTGGCCATAGGGAGTGGCAAGATTAGGCTTCGTGTGTGACCTTGTTGTAGGAAGTTAATCACTGTGGAGGAAAACTCGGAGGTCTTATTGACTCACACTATATGGTTGTCTCCTGTTGCCTGAAGATGCAGATGTAGAACTCTCAGCTCTTTCTCCAGCATCATCTCTGCCTGCATGCTATCATGCTTCTCAGTTGCCTGCAATGGACCAAACCTCTGCCCTGTAAGCCAGCCCCAGTTAGTTTCTTTTATAAGAATTGCCAAGGTCATGGTATCTCTTCACAGCAATGAAACCCATGGAAATCCCCAAATAATCCAGGCCGTTGCCAAGACAACAAGTTGCTCTCCACAAACTGATAACCAGCCCCCCTTGCCGAAGACAACATCCACACTACTCCTTGAACATAGAGAGGTCCAGCTGGTGCCCACACAGAAACTTCACATTCCTCCCCACAAGTTCTAATGTGTATAACACGACAAAAACGGCCAACCAAACCACAAAACCGTTGATCTACCATCTGTCCCACCTCTGAAATATGCTAGTGGTGGTACAAACCTTGAGAGAATAACCAACCAAGGTTGGATCGACTTAAGACCCACCATGCCTGACACTGTTTGGATGACCAAGAGCCAGAGTCTAGATAGCCCAGAGACCTAGGGTAAAAACAAATACTACTGGTCTACAAACAAGTCACATGACTCCTAATGATACTCTGTTACACTCACAGGTCAGTGCCTTGTTCAGTTTTCATCTACAGCAGATGGGAACACATACAGTGACCCACAGCCAGACACTACGCAGAGAGTAAGACCTCGGAACACACAGCTGTAAATGGGATATCTCTATCTAATTCTTCCCCTCTGAGTTCAGGGAACCCCGTGGAAGAGGACAGAGAGGAGTGGGGAGACAGAGAGGACAGAGAACACCCAGAGAACAATTGAGAAAGCTTAAATGAACTTACAAGCACGGGACCCACACAGGTCTGCACCAGGTCCTCTGCATCCATACTATAGCTTCCAGTTTAGTGCTTTTATAGGACTCCTGAATGTATAATAAGTGGGTCTCTGATTCTTGTGCCCTTTGGTTGTTTGTTTGTGTGTGTATGTGTGTGTGTTTGTTTGTTTTTTTCTTGCTGGCTTGGCTTGTCCAACTTAGATATGATGGTTTTCATTTTACCTCAATGTATTTTATTTTGTTAAAAATAAATTCTAGGGCTGGAGAGATGGCTCAGCGGTTAAGAGCACTGACTGCTCTTCCAGAGGTCCTGAGTTCAAATCCCAGCAACCACATGGTGGCTCACAACCACCCATAATGAGATTGGATGCCCTCTTCTGGTGTGTCTGAAGACAGCTACAGTGTACTCATATACTTAAAATAAATAAATAAATCTTTAAAAAATAAAAATAAAAAAAAATAAATTCTAGCCTTTTTTTTCTCGTTCCCCGGCCATCTTGGTGGCTGCTCTTGAGTGGGGGCTGTCTCACACCTAAGGCAGGAAGATGGTGGCCGAAAAGAAGATGAAAAAGTCTCTGGAGTCGATCAACTCTAGGCTTCAGCTTGTTAATGAAAAGTGGAAAGTACGTGCTGGGGTACAAACAGACTCTGAAGATGATCAGACAAGGCAAAGCGAAGTGGGTTATCCTCGCCAACAACTGCCCAGCTTTGAGGAAATCTGAAATAGAATACTATGCCATGTTGGCTAAAACTGGTGTCCATCACTACAGTGGCAATAATATTGAACTGGGCACAGCTTGTGGAAAATACTACAGAGTCTGCACACTGGCTATCATTGACCCAGGTGATTCTGATATTATTAGAAGCATGCCAGAGCAGACTGGTGAGAAGTGAACAAGAAAGTTTTCCTTTAATAAAACTTGGCCAGAGCTCCTTTTGAAAAAAATAAAAAATAAATAAATTCTAGTTGTTTAACAAAATAAAATGACAATGGCTTGATTCTGGGGGAAAAAAAAGAAAGAAAGAAAGAGAGAGAGAGAGAGAGAGAGAGAGAGAGAGAGAGAGAGAGA